ACATTGTCAGGCTATGTTAAGAGACAATTTAATTTTAAGTTGAATTCCCAAAAAAAGAATTATTTCCAATTTCTGCCCTAAAAAAGTCCAAGACAGCGACTGTCTTTCTCTTTTCTCAAGGGCACAGGAGGAGAAGGGGGACATTCAGTTTGAAGAGTTTTGTTTTGAGACAACATAGAAGAGAGAGGCTTCTGGGATGTTGGCTGAGGAGGAAGGTCAGCTGGGTGCTTTCTCTGCCTCTCTGAGCTAGCAGGCTTTCACCCCAGAATTTGGCTCCCAAGTCTTCATTGGTAAAATCAAATGATTGAGACTTTGTTAACACAGGAATAAGGCCCCTAACTGGTTATCCAGTACCAAGTGATTAGTCCCCAAAGCATATACATACAAGCACCATTAAACAGACCCACCAGCTTTTCAAATGTATTTATTTATTATATAGTATGTATAGTGATATTATATGTATAATATATATAATAGTAATTAAACAAAAACAAGCCATGAATTTAAAAGTGAGTAGGATAGGGGGAAGGGAAGAGAGCTGGAGAGAAGAGGACTGACATATTTTAATTAAAAATAAAACAATTTTTAGAATTTGTATTGAAAAGAGTTTCTTTTCTAGTACCCATGGCCCATGCCGTGGCAGAGGGCAGTGTTGATGTACACAGTCTGTACTGCCACTGGAGACCATGTTTAGGGCTGTATCACATGCTGATGCTGGAGATCATGTGGATGTTTGTGGTTTGTGCTGTTGCCCAGAAACCATGGGCAAATCCAATGAAGCTACATTTGTGTTGCAGAATATTCCTTTACACTGTGTGAAGATGTGTCACTTTGAACAGTTTAATAAAAAGTTAAATGGTCAATAGCTAGGCAGGATGTACAGCAGGGACTTCTGGACAGAAAGACCTTTGGGAAAACGAAAGGGGGTCGCCAGCCAGATAGAGAGGAAACAGGACCAGCAGTGCAGAGTAAAGGTAACTGAGTTGAGCAAAAAGATATGGGTTAATTTAAGTTATAAGAGCTGGTTAGAAACAAGCCTAAACTAAGATCAAGCTTTTTTTTTTTTTTGGTTTTTGAGACAGGGTTTCTCCGTAGCTTTTTGGTTCCTGTCCTGGAACTAGCTCTTGTAGACCAGGCTGGCCTCGAACTCACAGAGATCTGCTTGCCTCTGCCTCCCGAGTACTGGGATTAAAGGCGTGCGCCACCACCGCCCGGCTCAAGCTTTCATAATTAAGAATAAGTCTCCATGTCTTTTTTTGTGAACTTTGTGAATTTTTTTTTGGCGGCCCAAAAAGAAAATTCCATCTACAAATGGAACCCAATGTCCAGCCACATAAGCCTGAAGAAAGCTAAAAAGTTCAAGACATGGGGTCTAAAACAGAATCCTGGTGCAGTTTCCTGGTGACTGAGGTCACTCAGGTAAGCTTGGCATATGGAGACTGTCTGCTGGTTGGAGCCAGCCACCAGCACCATGGACCAGTGCCATGCACCAAGCTGAACTGAGCCAGCAGCTGACATAGAAGTTTAAAATTTGTCTCACGTGATCAAAGAATGCTACAGATGCTTAGTAAAGACAGATTCAGACAAAAAAAAAAACACTAAACAGGCTACAGTGCTTAAAAAAATGTGCATAGGCTTAAAAAAAGAAAGAATAGGTATAGTCATCCAAAAATTGTATAAATAAAAAGATAAAGTCCTTAAAGAAAAAATAATATAAAAAAGAAGATAAGTCAAGTAAAGATGGAAAATACACAGAGAGTCTGACTCCTATAAGGTGTTTAAATTTTTTGATTGTTGATAAGTGAACAACAGCTGCTGGGGGACACTGGATTATAAAACTACTAAATTAAACCAACCTACATGTTTTAAAATGTCTTAATTTCAAAGAGGAAGCCAAAAATATTTTACACTGGGGAAGAGGTTATGCTTCTGTTTCCACAAAAAAACAAAATACTTTGGATTCATTCAAGGTTGATAGAGATGAGATTTGATCTAGGAGATTATCCTGAAAATCCTGGCTACAAAGAAATAAACCTAGAAAAACTACAAGACAGGTAAGGTATACTTTTACCTGCTCAAACATAAAACAAAAAAATCATCTTTGGCAAGCTTATGTACAAGGGACAGTCTATACATGTGTTAATGCAGATATGTATGTTACCTTAGAAAGTTTTTATGTTTTCAGAGCAAAGTGACCAGACACCAATGAAAACATGTGGCCCAGGTGATTTAGTCTCTCAGAATGTCTCTGTTGCAGTTTCCTCAGAGTTCTACATCCAGAACAGCTTCAAGGCTGCTGGTTGAGATGGTCCAGCATCATAGACTATTCTAGCCAGGCCTACAGATAAGCCTTGAGCTCTCCCATTGCAGAGACTGGACAACAAATGTCATGGCTAGCTCTCCCAGGACTTGACCATTTTCCCTATTTTCTCAGCATCCTGTAAAGACATCACCTCCCTACCCCAAATAACAGGAAGCAGCATAAAGAACATAACATCTACATTCCCAAGAGGTAGGGTGGGTGGTTTTAGGTCATTCAGTAGGTATGGATGTTTGCCTTCATTTAAAGATATTGGTCACAAGTTTTTATTGGTCATGGTCAAAGAGAAAACTAAGCAAAGGATATTAGATTCAGGGTTCTCATTCTGAAAAGAAAAAAAGGGGATATAGAAATGATAGGATAAAAGGGTAGATTATTGTTTTCTACCTTCAAACTAAAAAAGCAACTACTAGTCTCAAATATTTTATATTGGTATGGATTTTTTTTATATTTGCTACAAATTTAAGATTATTTTTGTTATACTATTACATGTTTCTACTCTTGTTTAAGATATTTTTGTATATTGATACAAATTTAAGGTTATTTTATTATACTTATATGTTTCTATTTCTTATTTAAGGTATTGTACCTATGAAACTCATTTAAAAATGTAAATTCTGATCCTTGAAAGCTATTTAGGCTAATAAAGAAATATCGGTTAATAGTCATCTATAACAATCAAACTTATAGTCATGTTAGGTATGTTTTCAAGGTCACATGTGAATATATTTTAGATAAATGTGATTTTCAAACACTTCAAAGACCTATAGAATATCACATTTAAAATATTTTAATAATTTAAGGTTTTTCATGACAGTGAGACATGTCTGGTAGCACTAATCTACTTCATAAAACAATGGTGGGCAAGCCAGGCAATGGTGACACATGCCTTTAATCCCAACACTTGGGAGGCAGAGGCAGGAAGATCTCTATGAGTTCCAGGCCAGTCTAGTCTACAAAGCAAGTTCAGGACAGGCTCTAAAGCTACAGAGAAACCCTGTCTTGAATCACCCCCCCCAAAGGATGATTTGCTCAAAGACCCTCCACATGGAGTTTTCTTTTGTAGCAAAAGCTAACCATTTGGGCAATTTGCCTTGACTACTGAAAGTTTGATATCCAAACTGGACAAGCAAGACACACAGGAAGAAGACTGCCAAACTTTGCCAAGACAAGGTAGGACAATATTTTAAAATCCATGCTACACAGTAACGTCTAGGCCTATAGGCTGAAAACAGATGCTTCAACATTATAGTGGAAACTTAGGTGACTGTCCAGGCAGCCAGCTGTTTCTGTCATTTCTTAAAGTTTGGAAGTTTCTTGCTCTGCACTTCCTGTTTGTTTCCTCAGGTAATTATTTTATCCTTCGGTTTCTGACAGTGAATGAAGACTTGATAGTTATAGTTTTACAGCTTTCCTTGTTACCAAATTTAAAAAGAAACTTATATAAGAGATGCAAAGTTTATAAGGTTGAGAAACATAAAAGCTTAGTTGTTTATCTAAAAAGATGTTTAAGATCTAAAAGGACATTTTAAAAGATGTTAATACAAGTTATTACAAAAATGGTTCAGGTATAAAACTTTGGACTAAGATAGGATAGATAATGGACCATTTTCTCCACATTTGCCAATGCAAACAGACTGGACATTGTAAATGTAATTCTCATCGGATCATTGTTCTTATGTATAGTTTACTGTGTTAGCTAAAATCTTTCTTTTTTATTTAGACAAAAAGAAGGAACCATGGAATATTCCTTTATAGTGTATGAAGATGTGTCACTGTGATTGGTTTAATAAAAAAGCTAAATAGCCAATAGCTAGGCAGAAGGTATAGGTGGAACTTCTGGACAGAGATGGTTCTGGGAAGTGAAAAGGGAGTTGCCAGCCAGATCAGGAGAGGAAGCAGAATGGGAAGTACAGATATTGAGTAAAGATAACCGAGCCACGTGAGACAATGAAGACTAAAAGATATGGGCTATCTTATAAGAGGTAGTCAGAAACAAACCTAAGCCAAGGCTGAGCTTTCATAATTAACAAGTTTCCAGGTATTTTTTTTTTTTGTCAACAGGAGGCCCAAAATGAAAAGTCTGTCTACACGTTTGCAGTGGCATCGATGTCTGAGAAAGAGGGACAAAGGCTTCTGTGACAACCCCTATCCCACCATATCTCCCCCCAAAGTAACAGCCTAGACAGTAAACCAATGAAAAGAACTCTTAAAAATTGTGAAAGAGGCCAGGCAATGGTGGTGCACTCGGGAGACAGAGGCAGGCGGATCTCGAGGCCTGCCTGGTCTACCAGAGCTAGTTCCAGGGCAGACCCCAAAGCTACAGAGAAACCCAGCCTCAAAAAGTAAACAAATAAACAAACAAAAAAGAAGCACAATTAAATCCCCTGGGACGGGTTCTGGCTGCCCTGCTTCTCTCGCCCACTCCGATTCCACGCTCGCCCCTCTGTGCCCAAGTCCGCCACCCTGGTCCCTACGGCGGGCTGCACCATCTACGGTCTCTGGCCAAGCCAACTTCAAGGGCCCTTTTTTCAGCAGAAACCACTGAACACAAGCAGATAAACACCGCCGCAGGTTACCGACAACGAATACAACCACCTCCGCCCGCGTGCCCCGGGCTCTGACGTCACGTCGGGCGCCGGAAGCGACGAGCATGCTGGACGTCATCTGACTGCGCGGAGCCAGCGGTTGTTGACAGGCAGTGGAGGCGGCTGGCGGGGAGCTGCGGTGTTTTCTACCATGCCTGAGTGGGCGAGCTGCCCTGGGCAAAGGCCTCTGGGCCGGGGTTGAAAGAAGCTGATCAGATGCAGAGTCTGGAGGGCTCGGGGACCGGGCGGTCAGTCGGGACGCAGACTGGCAGCATGACGGGTGAGTGCGGGGCGCGGCCCTGCTGCCGTCCTCCTTATCTCCCGCGGTGCCTCTTGCTCTTGTCTGGCGCCCCGCCTGTCCCTGGTGTCCTTCCAGGTCCGCGTCCTACTTACACTGTGTCCCCGCCGTGCTTGCCTCGTGCCTTTATCCCTCTCGGCACCCTCCCACCCTGCCAGCCCCGTGTCCTCCTCCAGCTCGGCACCCGGTCTGCCTCTTGTCGCCCTCCAGCTCGGCACCCGGTCTGCCCCGTGTCGCCCTCCAGCTCAGGACCTACGTGCACTAGGTCTCCTTCCCGCCCTGCTAGCGCTGTGTCGTCCTCCAGCTCGGCAATCCATCTACCCTGTGTCGCCATTCAGCTCAGCACCCTACCTGCACTGTCTCCCTCCCGCCCTAATAGCCCAGTGTCTCCCTCCAGCTCGGCACCCGGTCTGCCCCGTGTCCTCCTCCAGCTTGGCACCCTTCTTGTCCTATGTCTCCTTCATGCCCTGCCAGTCCTGTGTCTCCCTCCTTCCCCGCGCCCTGCCTGCTCCGTGTCTCCCGCCCAGCGCCCGGTCTCTCTCAGCAACTCCCGCCAGGCCCGCTGCGCCCCTGGCCTCCTTGCCAGACGCGAGTCCTGAGGCTGTGCTTCCCAGGCTTCACAGGTCGCGCACCCTGCCCTGCACTCCTGGTTGCGGGGCCTAGACGCAGTATCCCGGGGCTGAAGAGCCTGGAATTGCGCCTTTGCTTTGATTCCAAATTCACCGCATGTGATGCTTTTCTCAAGTTTTGCCTTATGGTTGAGAATCAGGCGTGTACTAACCATTTCCTTTTTAGCAATGCCTTCCAACGCTAACAAAATAAAACAACAAAGGAACAAAAACTTTCCTCCACGACAACGACGTCAAAGGCGAGGACTTGCCCCAGTTTATTTCCGGAGCTTCGGTGTTGGTTGTATTATTTTATCTATGGGGTAACCTGGAGGGAAAAAGGGACCCACGTTTGGAAGGCTCTTGCAAATGAAGCTATGATTCTCCTACCCGCCGATCTTTTTTGCATCTCACAAGTAGGTTTGAGCTTAGCTCCTTTTCCATCACTAGTGAAATTCTGAATGCCCTCTCTTTTGTAGGTCAAATACCAAGGCTTTCTAAAGTCAACCTTTTCACTCTGCTCAGCCTCTGGATGGAGCTCTTCCCAGGAGTAGAAGCCCAAGGGCAAAAGTCTCAGGTATAACTTGTTTTTTACCCTTGGAAAAAGCAGTAGTCGTAAGTTTGATTATATTGCCTCTTGTAGTCTGCATAGTCAAACCCAACTGGCCTTAAGACTTGAGAAATAGCGTTATCATGGCATTCTGCTTGTAGCTCATAGCATCATAGCTCATCTTTCCAGTCTGAAAAGTTAGTCCTAGCGTATTCCTTGATTATTGGATATTAAAATGTACATTGTAGAAGTCAGGCTTGTTATAATTGAATATTAGAATTGAAAATCTTTTTAACTTCATTAGCGACTTTTGATCACAGCATGAATCTGTTTATACACACATAAATTGAGTCCTTTATTGAGCACAAGTTTTTTTAATTAGTGGCGTGTAATATGTAAGTTTCTATTACGAAATGTCCTCATTCTGACAGAGATAAGGCTATTAGCATTCTGATGAAAATGCCTCCAAGTTTCAGGGCTGTAAAACTTTGTTAGAAACAAGAGATGATTTCAGCTTCCTGTCTTACTAAGCAACTACTCTGTGCCTCCTCCTTACCCTGAGGTGGCCCCTCCTCCTCACCCTGAGGTGGTCTGCTTTTCTGACTTCCTTTCCTTCATCAGACAGATGTGAGGAAGGTTTTCTTTGTTTAAGAGAAACAAGTTAGTTTTATTTAAAATATTTTATTTGAAATCTTGTTTAGGAATCTGGCCCATACCTGTATCAGTTTACGGCTATTAAATTAAAATCTTAACTAGACATAGAAATAATTACAGGGGTCATCAAAATGAATTCTTGTTTTCTAAAGCCAGCCAACTTGGGAAGAGGCTTGGCCTAGGAAAGCTTACTACTTATATATCCTGACCCTTCCCTGCTACTGTTCACTGTGTTAATGTCTAACCCACTGTTTCACGCCCATGTTCCCCATAGCTGTCAAGCCAAAGTGTCAGGCAGGCTTCCCTCTTGTTCCTTGACTATAAGCCTTGTGACCCACAGTACTGAACCGAGGCACCTTCAAGAGTACTCTATCAGTGTACGGTAGCTTGAGGACTTGGTTATCACTTTTAACTTGTCTCCATGGAAAACGTGTTTTAACTACTAAAAAAGCAAATTTACAAAATGCATAGATTATCGTTACCACCTCTGGACGCAGCTACTGTCAGGAAAGCAGATGTGCACATTAGTTTCATCAGTTCCAGAGTCATGGCTGCTGCAGAGAAGAAAACCAGTGATGGGTTTGGGGAGAAACAAATGAAAGGGAGCACATGACACCCCATTTTCATCCTTTTTGTTTTAGCATTTTTATCGAAACTGAAGATAACTCGATTAACCAGCAGCATTAAAAACTCATATTGCACATGCTTTTAGGAGAGTTCTCTTTGTGCTAGTTAATGTTCTTAAATAACTTTTCAGTGTATCTAGCCCTCTTTCTTATATAATCCAGGACCCCATGCCTATGGTAGCCCTGCCCACCATGGGCTGGGCCCTCGCACACCAATCACTAATCAGGAAAATACCCTAAAGGCATGCCCATGGGCCTGCCTGATAGAGGCAACTCCTTAACTGAAGTTCTCTTTTCCTAGACGCCTCCAGGCGTTTCAGGCTGACAAAACTCACACAGAGTAAGTCACAGAAGCTCCAAGATGCGGTTGACATGTAGCTGTATAAAATAGTTTTATGAGTTCCCAAATGAGTATGTGTTCATTATTTTAAAAGGAACAGAAGAAAAAGTCTTCACACTACTACCTAGAGACTGTTGACATGTTTGTATTATTTTATCCTTTTTCTTTTTTATTATACTTGCTTGAAATACTTTATTCTGGATCTTTTCCACCAAAAGTAAGACATACATATGCTGTGGCATTATGTGCGTGGCAGCAACTTGGTCTAGTGTTTCCAGATCAGCCAGGCTGACTGGGCTCCCATTCCAGCTCAAGCTCTTGGTAGTTTGTGTAACTTTGTGTAAGGTATTTTGTTTTTGCATCAGCTTCCTTTTTAGTACAGTGGAAAATCACGTGTACATGCAACATGCTTTGCTTTGTTCTGAGGTCCTGTCCATTGAGCCCATAGCCTTGTACATGCAAGGCAAGTGCTCCAAACCCCGAGCACACTCCAGCCCGTGTGCTCTTACACACAGTGAATGAGCTGAAAGCTCTCTTCATTCTGGCACTGTGTAGACTGTGTTTGGATAAACTGTAGAAGAGTCAGTTGTGTTGATGGACATTTACATTGCTACTTTTGCCAAATTTAATATTTAACAGGTTTAATATATTTGCAAATATGACTAGTGTCTGAGTTCCTCTGTGCTATCAGATACTTACATTGTTCAGCAATAAAAGCAGAATTTTAAAGTGTCCAATCAACAACTGGAAAAGAACTTGTCTATTGAGACTTAGAAGATACAGTGGTAGTAATGTATAAAAAAGAGAGAGAGATAGAGAGAGAGACTTAGAAGAAGGCTGGGGGACAGTTAATAAACAATTTTGAATTAGAAGTTAGGTACCGTGAAGATGGCTAACATTACTTTCTTTTGTACTGGTCCATGCTTTCCTTGTAGTGTAAATTATGTGGCCTTACTTGCTAGCTTGGTCTGAGTCTGTACCCGAGTGAAGTGAGATGTCAACACAGAGCTTCGTAAGGGGGAAGATGATCCAGAGGAAACCAGCCCTTAAATACTGAAATGTATTTATCCTATTGATTATACATTAGACATATATAATTCATCATATTAATCATTTTCCCTCTTAATCTGATTTTAATTAGAAAAACGAAGAGGAAAACCGTGGCCCCTTAGGAGATAATGAAGAGTTGGCCAGAGTATCTGCTGACAAAAAACAGGTGAATTGTTATGATTTTTAAAAAGATGTAACAAGCTCATAATCAAAAGCAAAAGGAATGGATAGAGTCCTGTACAAGACCTCCCATGCTCCTGGGAGCTGCTCAGACTCTCCTAAAAGGCCTCTTGGGTACTGACAAGCCTGTAAGCCTTTCCTGTTAAAAAGCTCAAGTGAGAGTTGTCTGTAATGTCCTCCTGCTTGTTTTATTTGCAATGTAACTTCTAATCCTGAGTCACATGGATGGATTGAGCAATGCCTCCGAGCTTCTCCACATGTGTGTATCTTGGTTATTATTGTGAGAATTCAAAGCCTAATTGGTCTTTATCTTGGACATTTCTGAAGAGCTGAGGTAATATCTCCCTCTGGGACAAACAACAGGTTGGTTTGCTTTTTCCCTTCAAACACCAGGATACCAGCCTTGATGTTTCTCTCTGCATAGCCACTGTGGGTCCAAGCAACCACGTGGTCGCAGCTGCATTCTGCCCTGGGGAACTAGAGGGTGTGGACCACCACAAATGTGCTTCTCACTCTTTGGAGTCCTCTGTCCCCGACCCAGGAACTTCATGTTTTCTCTTATATCTAAGAAACATGGGCCATCAGACCAAAAGACCTGGTATTCCTTGTCATGCTACCTGTAGCTTCCAGAGATGGCTGTTCACATGCAGAGAATAAGAACATGTGTTTTGTAGAGTTATTATTCTGATGTCTGTCTGTATAAGTTTCCTGATTAGTTCTGGGAGTGGGTCTCTTCACTGCCTGGTGTGATTTAGAAATAATTTGCTAGATGCTTTCAGTATAAGAGAAACACAAAGGGAAAAAGTAGTGAATCACCTAAGGAAATATACTGAAAGGTGGTCCTGTTTCATCATGTTTTAATGTAAAACCATATGACTAAAATTACATAGAAACCGCCCAAGATGTGCACGAAGTGAAACAAGCCAGGGCCCAGAAGAGTGGTTCCCAGAAAGTAAGTGTGCTGGGGCTGTAGCAACTAAAAGTCCCAGACTGGAACACAATTTGGGCGTCTCATTTGGGGTGAAAATTTTTATCTCAAACTAGATATATTGGCTATAGCTAGAAGCAAAATTAACAATTTTTTGTTTGTTTGTTTGGATGGGGGAGCAGTGTTTTGTTTTTGAGATGGGGGCTTCTCCATGTAGCCTTGGTTGTCCTGGAACTCACTCTGTAGACCAGACGACCTCAAACTCAGAGATCTGCCTGTTTCTGCCTCCACCCACTGGGGTTAAAAGCATATGCCATCATGTCCAGCTATTTTTATTTTGTTTTAAAAGGTCTCAAGAAGTGATAAACTTGGCCTGAAAGATTAAATCGTTCTAGTAAGAGGTTGATAATGCACTTCCTGTGTCTTGGGAACAGTGTCACATACAATCATTTATTTCTGGTTTATTTCTGTCTGCTGACAGTGTAAAGCCAATGTCATTCAGCTGAGTTGCAGCCACTCTGTTGGCCATGTTGCCTCAGTTTAACAGTGCCAGCTCTGTGCCCAGATCCTTTGTCAAGGCAGTTTTCAGTGGTTGCTTTCTAAAGTGAACAGTGTTGCACTCAAACTTGCTGGAAGAAGGTAACATACAGTTTGTATTCAGGGAATGTACAGTTAAACTTTGGGATGAAGAGGGGAAGGTTTACTTTTTACAAGTTTGGAGTCAAATGCATTACGTTTTAGTTGTGCCCTTACCTTTAATAGCTGAGCTATCTTTTCAGCATAAGTTAAGGCCAGCCTGGGCTATATAATGCAATCCTGACTCAAAAAAGAAAAAAATATCTTGTAATTTTAGAATTGAGAGGATGCCTGCTTTAGTTCTGCCTTTACCGTCTGTGATTCTTCCGAGGTGTGCGTGAAATTCAGAGGATTTCCTTACACCATCATGAAGCTTGTAGTAAAATAATCCTCACCTGGATGGTGGAAGAAACCAGTCAGCTGACTCGGCCTGTGGCCTTTATTAGGTTAAAATGAACTCATCTTTCACTAGAACAATGTAATAATAGCCACACATGTAATTAACCAATAGAGTCTTAGTTTTGGAAGTTTCTCTTCTAAAGTCAATATGAAGCTCTCAGAAATTCTTTGTGGACCTAATTAGAAATCTGTTTTTATGAAGACTGTGTTTAGGTAAGAATTAAGCACAGCTTTCATCATTAGAAAGTCAAGTATTACCCATGAAAGGACAGTATTAGTCATAACTAATAATTTATTATTTTGTGTCTTAATTAGGTGAAGAAAACTGGTCTTGTGGTGGTGAAAAACATGAAAATCATTGGTCTTCACTGCTCTAGTGAAGACTTACACACTGGACAAATTGCTCTTATCAAACACGGGTCCAGGCTGAAAAACTGTGACCTCTACTTTTCAAGAAAACCGTGTTCTGCTTGTTTGAAAATGATTGTGAATGGTGAGTACAGATGAGGTGGTGCTGGAATTCAGCTCCTTTATCAGAGAGCAGCTGTGAGGGAAGACATTGCCCAAATACACAGAGATAACGTGGGAGTGGAAATGCATGTTTGAAGACCATTTACACATTGTCAGAGGATAAGTCTGCAAACGTGGATTCTGAGCTCAGCTCTGTCTGCTGATCAGCTAACTTACCCTTGGTAAATTATAGGCTGATGCTAGTTTACAATAGAACCCCAAAATTTCAGTGGCTCGAGACTGCATTTCACCCCTACGGTTGTCAGACACGGGCACTGACAGCAGCAGGCGGTTTTGTTCACATGGTTGGTTTGTGGGAGTAGACATCATTCTTCTCCCTACTTTCATCAGAACTGGGGTCTCTCTTGAGTCCTCTGCGTTCAGAGAAGGCATATCTGCTTCTTAAAATCCTGCTTGGGGGAGAGCGGCTGGGGATTGTAGCTCAGTGATGGAGTGCTTGCCTAGCATGGGTGAGGCCCAGGTTTTTCCCAGCATCATAGAACAGAACAAGACCCGGCAGCCACATAATATCCTTTCTGTTCATGTCGCTGTGGGAGCTGTAGGCTCTGGCTGGGCAGCTCTCTGTTCTAGTTTCGTTTATGTTGTAACCACCATGACCAGAAACAAACGTGGAAAGGAGATGATTTATTTGGCTTTCAAGTCCAGATAAAGTTGATCATTAAGAGAAGTCAGGTAGGAACTCAGTTCAGGAACTGCTTACTGTCTTGCTCCATGCCGTGCTCTGTCTGCTTTCCTGTAACAACCCAGGCCTGGGGATGGGACCACCTCCTGGCCTGGGTCCTTACACACCAATCATTAATAAAGAAAATGTCTCACAGACATGGCCACAGTCCTGGATGTGGAGGCAATTTCAAATCAAATTTCAAATCAGATGGAGCCAATTTCCCAATTTCTTGAGATTCCCTTTTCCCAAATATGTCTCAGTTTGTGTAGAGTTGACAAAAACTAGCCAGCACACTCCCAAAGGTTACTATATACCCTGGAAGGTCACACAACACGTGACTGCTTCTCATTCTATTTTATAGGTAGGTAAACATGCAGGTGATTGTATCATTTTAAAGAATGTATCTCACATATGGGCACCTGGTAGCTCTAGAAGAAAGAAGACAACAAATGTGACTCCCCATCCTTTTCCTCAGGGAGACTTGGTATCAAATAAGGCTGTAAGTGCGGCAGGAGCTCAGAGGCCTGGCTGCTGTGTTTTGAAAGCTGAGACATAAGCCTGATCTCCATGGCTATATTAGTTATATTCTATTTCTGTGATAAAGTACCATGACCAGAAGCAACTTATGGACAAGTTTATTTAGGCTTGTGGCTCCAGAGGATCATAGTACATTCATGGTAGGGAGGCAGAGCAGAAGGCAGACTTTAAAAGACTGGTGATGCCCTTTTCATCATTCTATGACATTTTTCTGTTAAAAGTTCTTTGTGGTCAACAAGAACAAAGTGTGTACAAAAAATACCATCATGAAACTCATACTTCATATGCTAATTTAAAACTCGTTAAGAAAACCAAGGTTAAAGAAAATGAAAGCAACATGTTTTAAAACAGAAACTTCTTGGTGGGCGTCTTGGATAACGAGGAGGGGTCCCATCATGTGTTCCCATCTTGATGGTCTGGATGAGGAGTCACATTATTTATTCCCCTGTTTTGATTTCCGGAGTTGTTTTTAATTCAAAGAATGCTGCATTAAAAGCATGCACATTTTCCTCTCTTTAGAATATAGCTTTTCAGAAGAATTCTGAATCTGAGACAGGAACATTTTGAGTGCATAAATGTAGTATTTATAGTTATTTAGATATAAAACTACTCTAAGCCTTACCATGTGTTGACTATAACATTTCCAGAGCAACCATGGCAACATGGAAAACCTTGGTGTATAAATATTTCAGATTTTGCATGCAGTGTAGTTTCTACTGTGTTAGTCAAGTCTGCCATTCGAGGGTACTCATTACATATGTAAATGAAGGGTTGTGTCTTTGAATAAATACAAACATTGAAATTTTAATTTCTCATAATCTCATATGATAGAGAATATTCTCTTGTAAAGCCCATACTTAACCCATCAATTGAAAAAAGACTAGCCATAGAGCCATTTTGGCCTGTGGGTATTTGTTTGCTAACCCTCACATTGTGTAAATGACAGTGTAGACGTTTGTCTTGGTAATGGTAGACTGGATTTAGATAGAAAGCCTCTATTATGCTTATATCAAAACAATGACCTTTTATATTTTTATATTTTAGCTGGAGTTAACCGAATTTCTTACTGGCCTTCTGACCCAGAAATAAGTTTGCTCACCGAGGCTTCTAGCTCTGAAGATGCAAAGCTGGATGCCAAAGCAGCAGAAAGGTTGAAGTCCAACAGCCGGGCCCATGTGTGTGTCTTACTCCAGCCGCTGGTGTGTTACATGGTGCAGTTTGTAGAGGAAACCTCTTACAAGTGTGACTTTATCCAAAAGACTGCAAAAGCACTGCAGGGTGCTGACACTGATTTCTATTCTGAGTGTAAACAAGAAAGATTAAAAGAATTTGAAATGTTATTTTTGATTTCGAATGAAGACATGCATAAGCAGATACTGATGACTATAGGTCTGGAGAACCTGTGTGAAAACCCCTATTTTAGCAATCTAAGGCAAAACATGAAAGACCTGATTCTACTTTTGGCCACAGTAGCTTCCAGTGTGCCCAACTTGAAACACTTCGGATTCTACTGTAGCAACCCAGAACAGATTACTGACAGTCACAACCAAAGCTTGCCGCAGGAAGTTGCAAGGCACTGCATGGTGCAGGCCAGGCTATTGGCATACCGAACTGGTGAGTTCAATGCTTAGTTCGTAAACAGGGGCTGAGGTTGGGTTACCAGTGACACTGAAGTGAAGTGGCTTCCTATCGTCCGTGGTAGAGAGTTCCTGGACTCTTAGATACTAAAGCATTGTTGCTCCAACAGCGTAAAGGAGTTACCCAACCCCTTGTGTATTCTGTGTTCTTAATTCAGCACTGCATTTACAAACCAGGACCAGGAGACCTAAGTCCTGTTTGCTTCTTACACAAATAATCCCTTTACCCACTAAGTCCCTCAGTAAAAATGGCACAAAAAGAAAACTAGAATTTCTCGTTTTTATTTACTCCACAATTTTTTTGTTCATACTCGGTTTTTTAAGAATATGTTTTTTATATATGTTAGTGATTTGTCTGCATGTATTTTGTTTGTGCACCACGTTGTTCCTGGTGCCCTTAGAGCCCAGAAGATGGTGGCGTGCAGTCATGGACAGTTAGTTGTGAGCCACCATGTGGGTGCTGGAAATCAAACTCAGGTCCTCTGTAAAAACAATAAGGGCTCTTAATTGCTGAGCCATCTCTCCAACCTGTGTATTCTATTTTTATTAAAAAGTTAGAATTCTGGGAATTTTTAAATTTAGAGGGAAAGAAATGAAGGTAAAAGAATGCTGTTATTCGGTTTCTGGTGATACGTTCCTGTCAGCAAGTTAAGTGATCTCACTCTGCTGTGCATGTGTAAAAGGAAAATACTACTTAGTGATGTTCTTTATTTTGATAAAAATGTAGCATTATTTTCATATCTAAGCTAATATAATGTTTTTCAATGTAGAATTGCCACTTTGTAAAATCCAATTTTGAAGTAAGTAGGGAAAATCCAGACAGGAGAAGTAGTAAAGACTTATTTGGGACATATGCTATAGTAGGACTTGTTTATTTATTCATTTATTTATTTACTAGATAGGGTCCTATGCAGTCCAAGCTCCCTAAGTAGCTGAGGATGACCTTGAACTTCTGACCCTCCTACCTCCACCTCAAGTGCTGGAATTAGAAGCATGCACCTCCTGGACCTTGTGCTGTGCTGAAGATGAAAGGAACCTAGGGCCTCATGCACATTAGGCAAGCATTCCACCAACTGAGCTACATCCCCTGCCCAGAAACTTAATTATCCCAAGAAAGGAGGAGAAGAGAAGGAGAATAAGAAAGGCCTGTACAGATGGCACTGGTCTTTAAAAGACCTCAGGTCGAGTAAACGGAATGAAGGATCTCAACCGACAATGTACAGAATCTCCATGGAAACTTTAAAAGGTACAGATGCTCAAACTCACCCAGATCTGGGTACAGCCTAGGTCTTTAAAAGTTCTGCAAGGTGTTCTGATGTTCATCAGGGTTGATAATCCGAGTCTGATTTGTAATGTAGAGTTTACATACTCTAAATTACATTTTGTATTATCCGTGTGTCCACTTACTATTGAGTTTTATATATAAATCCGTGCTGGTACATTTGAATTAAAAGGTTTTCCAAGGAACAGTTTTTGACAGTGGATTTTTTTGCAGGGGAAGGTTCTGGACCTCAACGCCTAGTTAAGATGAAACTTGACTATCACTCACTGTGTTCTTTCAGGGGAGAACCACCGGCATAATTAGCATTTTCCCTGAGAACTAAAGAGTGGTTATTAAATGGGGGGATCTTTTCATATTCAAAATAGTGGTTCAGGGGCTGGGGAAGTCGCTCAGCAGGTAGAGTGCTTGTTGTGCAAGCATGAAGACATGAATTTGGGTCCCCGGCACACCCGAGAAAAGCAGGCTATGGCTACGTGTTTATAGCCCCAGGCCTGCAGCTGAAACAAGATTGATTGTGTGGACTCACTGGCCAGATAGTCCAGCCAATAAGTTCCAGTGAGAACTTACTCCTAAGTAAGGTGAAAAGTACAGCACTCAACATCAGCATCTGGCCTCTGGAGGCACACACACGCACACAGAGTTCATAATCATTACAGCCCTTGGGGCGAGTGTGAAGGAGTTTAGAATTCAAGGGTGTTAATGTAAGGTGGTGTGTGCTGTTTGGGCAGGCACTCTGGATGGAACAGTGCTCTATAGGCATGTTGTTGAAGTAGGTGAGAGTAACCCCAAAGCTGTTCTAACTCACTCCATTGAGTCAGATATGAATGTGACAAAGCATCAGGAGGCAGCTGTGGATAACGCAGGTCCCTGGCCACTTTGCTCTGATTGACCAGGGCTCTTCACTAGAGCCAGGAGTCAGCCTTTTTATCAGGCACCCAGCAATTTTTATCAAGTGTTCTGTGAAACACACTTAGATCAAGACCAGTGTTAACATAGAACTATCTGTAACAGAAACTGGCTTGTGTAGGGGCCAGCTGGCTTCTTGGAGAGTCAAGGACCTTTTTGCCAAGCCTGACAGGCTGAATGCAGCCTGAGTTGGAGCTCAAGTTCTCTTCTTCCGTGTTGTGGAAGTTGTCCTCTGACACCTATAAGTGCACTGTGACACCCACATATATGAGTGCACACACACACACAAATAAAATTTTAAAAATTAAAGAAATAGATGTGCCTGTAGGCATGAACAATAGACTAAAGAATACTCTGACTTCAGGGGTCAGTGAGCCTCAGGAATCTGTTCAGTGGTCATAAATTGGCCTTTCCTTCGAAACTGCAGGAAAAAAAACCTTAAGAATAATCAGATTATAAGGGACAATTTTGTAAAAATTACAGATATGGTAGATGCCTTTAATTCCAGCACTCAGAGAAGCTAAGGCAGGAAGACTGCAAGTTCAAGGCCAACCTGGGTTATCCAGCAAACTCCTATCTTAAAACTGGAAATCAAGGATCATCCCTACTTGAAAAGAGGTAGTGAATGTTCTCTTACAATTAGCCCTTGCCAAGAAGCAGAAATGCTGCTGATGGGAAAATGCTCTTTCCTTCCGTGAAAAGGTCCAGTCTGTCCCCAGACTGAAATAGAAATGGTAGCTCCCCAAATCAAAATCCGAATATAAGAAAGGTATTTCATTTGGAGAATTTCTGTTTTGTTTGGTTTTTATTTATGCATGTATTAAACTTTGCTTAGGTTTTGATATTTTAGGTAATTATAATATTGTGGTTATAATTTCCACTACTGCCTTAGACATGAGCATGAAGCATTAATTTATATTATTGCCCTGCATTAAACTATAAAGGTCTAGGAAGCAAGGGAATTTTGCTACCAAATCTCGCCCCTGACACTATAGAAGCCGTCGCCATAGGCTCCCCAGTGTCATAGGCACCTCCTCTTAGTGCAGCTTCCTCATCCCTGCCAAGCCCCCATTTGGCCATTAGCTGCTTGAGGATGGGACTGTCATTCCCCTCCCCACTCAACGGTCAGCCTTTCACCATGCTTTGTACATCTGTGACACTCAGAAAATGAAAATTATTTTTAGGGAATCCTTAATGTCAGAAGGAGATGGAGAGATGGAGAAAAGGCAGCTAGGTTGGGTTAAGAGAACTAACTTAGTTAATTCTATATATATAGAAATGGAAATTTTAACTATTGATAGGCAAAAATGAGAACATATATAAAAATACTTCCCAGAAAAATACTTATTTTATACTATAATTTTGAAAACCTGAATGTGCTTGAATTGCAAATAAGAAATTTTATTGCATAACTACAATTTTTTCAGTTAACTCTAAGACAAACTATAGTTTAATACAACAATGGCAGGGCTTCTGTCTGTATTGTCTGTAATAGAAAAGTAGATGCTTAAATGCACTCTGATGGGAGAGCTTACCTTGAAGGAAGGTGTAGGAAAGACAGTTGTAGGCCTCTTCAGTTTAAATGGCCCCCAGTAAGGGTACAGATAATTCTGTTTTGCTTTGTTTTTTTCTGTAAATGTTATGTGGGATTCCCCTCTGTATTACTATGAATATGTTTTATTACCACTGGTTAATAAAGAAGCTGCTTTGGCCTATGACAGGGCAGAATATAGCAATTGGGAAATCCAAGCAGAGATAGAGGAGGAAAGAAGGTAGAATCAGGGAGATGCCATGTAGTCACCCAAGAAGCAAGAGGTAACAACCACGAGCCTCATGGTAAAATATAAAATAATAGAAATGCGTTAATTTAAGATGTAAGAGCTAGCTAGGAATACCCCTAACCCATTGGCCAAACAATGTTGTAATTATTATAGTTTTTGTGTGATTATTCGAGTCTGGGCAGGTGGGAACTGAAAGTGCAGAGTCCACTTACATAAATGTACCTACTTTGTCCCTTGCTGTGGTTTTCATAAATGCTGTGGTTTTATAATTCATTCAAATTTGTTTTAGAAATTTGAAACTCACCCTAATGTACAAGGAAAACAAGACTTTAAGTAGAATTTCTACTTGAACTTTTTTTCCAAAAATATTTCCATAAAGTCAATTTTTCATGAGTAGAGTGTAAAAAATGTCAGAAAAAAATAAACTTAATTTTAGCACATGTTTATGCCTCTAAATCCATCATTCAGAAACTTCCTATTCATTCTGCTTTTTCATGAGTTAAAAGCGGTCACTTAAATCCTGACCAGGTAAGAAGAGTCAGTGAGGCTGGGCTGTCACAGTTACAGCGTGGGTCGAATGCGCCACAGCCACTTGAGAGGTTGTTACAGGGACATGATGAGTGAGGGTGGACAGTGGCCCTGCCCTGTCTGGCTATTTGGTACCTTATTCCCATATTCCACACCAGAAAGGTTTTATCTCAAGAGTTTTGTGTAGTTAGGACAAGGGATTACTGCTGTTACATTTATGATGTCTGTTGCAGTAAATGTGTTTTTATTGTTTGGGAAGGATGGACTCATGGAACTGGGTGTTGATTTTTACTGAGAAAAACATCCTGTCTTTCAGAGGATCATAAAACAGGAGTTGGAGCTGTCATTTGGGCAGAAGGGAAAGCTGTAAGTATGAAACCATTCCCTCTAACATCTGAGTGATAGCAACTACAGCTCATGCTGTCTGACCTGCTAAAGTCTTGGGTTGTATTGACCTGTTGATAGAATGTATTTTACCAATTCGTATAAACATCTGCCCTTCCCTCAACTGCTGACCGAGGTTTCTGTCCCACCTGGTCCCTGGTCCTTCATCCGTTTAGTCACAAATAAACACACAGAGGCCTACATTAATTATAAACTGATTGGCCTATTAGCTCAAGCTTCTTATTAACTCTTAAAATGTATATTAGCCCATAATTATTGTCTGTGTTAGCCACATGTCTTGGTACCTTTTTTGGCGAGGCAGTCACATCTTGCTTCCTCTGTGTCTGGGTGACAACTGCAGACTGACTGTTTCCTCTTCCCAGAATTCTCGTTGCCCCGCCTCTACTTCCTGCCTGGTCACCCCACCTCTACTTCCTGCCTGGCTACTGGCCAATCAGCGTTTAACATACAATTGACAGGGTACAGACCATTGTCCCACAGCACTCAACAATTTTCAAGGTTCATCCATTAGCAAACATTTATTGAACACTTTCTGTGAGTTTGTTGAATATTGCCACAATGAACACTAGGCAATTGAAACATTTTTAATTACTTTTTTTTTTTAAGAGAGGAAGAGGTTTATGTCAGCTTAACTTTCAGGTCACATTCTGTCACCGAGGGAAGTCAGGGCAGGAACTCCAGGTGGAGACCATAGAGGAATGGCGCTCACTCCTAGCTGTCTCACGCTTATCTAGCTTTCTCACCCAGCCCAGTGTCACCTGCCTAAGGATGCACTGTCCACAGTGGGCTGTAGCCTCCTGCAGTCAAGACAATGTCCCACAGACATTCTCATAGACCGGTCTGATAGAGGCAGTTCTTCTGTTGACACTCTCACTCCAGGTGACTCTAGTTTGGCCAAGTTGACTATAAAAAGTAACCAGTACACTGGGCTTCTCTTTAATAATGCTAACCCCTTTACCAAATACCACTCATGGTTTCTTATCTCACTTCCCTTCCCTAAAACTTTAAACTTACTCCCGAAGCTTCATGTTCTTATCCTTTGCTCCCCTCTTTGCCCTTCCTCACTGGATAAGAGCAGTGAGCAGTAACAGTACACAGCTTGAATGCCATCCTGGCATGAAGTAACCTCCACCAAACAAGATATATCATGTCTTTAAATTCAGCATCAACCAGGTTCTTAGGATTTGGGAAGAAAGCAGCCAGACTGTTTTCCTATGATATCACAGTGTGAGCACATAGCCCAGCTCCTGATGGAGTCCTTGGTCCACAGGAAGTCTTATGAACCAGGCCTCCACTCTTTGTTTGTTTGGGGTTTTTTGTTTGTTTTGTTTTTAGCGCTTTAGTTTTTCAAAGCACTCTTGACTTCTGAGGTACCACTAGAACTGCTAACATCAAAGACCATCTTGAAGTTACCTCTGAAGATGGCAGACTTAAGATGATCTGATATTATGTTTCTATTTCAATTTTAAGATTTTGTTTACTTATGTGTGGTAGGTGATGTTTATGTTCCAGACACACAGCCGTCTTCTCCTTTCACCTTGTTGATTTCAGGGATGGAACTCAGCTCCCCAGGCGTGGTGGCACATGCCTTTACCAGCTCAACCATTTCTCCAGCTCAGATCTTGTATTTCCTGATGGCTCCATTTATTATAGAAATGGAGCGAACCTTCTTTACATGGAGTGTGAGGGCTTTCAGAATGCGCAAACTCACAGGGTGCTTCTGCTGACCCTTGCAGAGAAGCTGTGATGGAACTGGAGCTATGTACTTCATAGGATGCGGCTACAATGCCTTTCCTGTCGGCTCAGAGTATGCTGATTTCCCCCACATGGATGACAAGCACAAGGACAGAGAAATACGGAAGTTCAGATACATCATACATGCCGAGCAGAATGCTTTGACATTTAGGTACGAGATATTTTTGCCTTCTTTCCTTTAAGATGGAGCAGATGTTGGTTGGAGCTAGTTTTCTTTTATTGTCTTCTGTTCTTCTTTTAAAACTCTTAGAAAATGTTTTCAGAAAAAGAATTTTGATAACGCTAGGTCCTGCTCCTGGACTGGAAGTATGGTCACAGATTCCCAGCTCTTTCCATTTCTTCAGAAATTCTTTCTTCTTACTCTCTCTAGTAGGAACTACTAGGAGTTTGTCCTTAGGGACTTGCACAGCTATTTCCAGTTTTGGATGTTAGTATCCCCTTTGTTTTCTAAATTCAGAGCATGTCTGTTACATATATGAAATACTGGCTCAGTTATGGTTTTTATTGCTGGGATGAAACATCATGACCAAATCCATCTGTCACCGAAAGGAGTCAGGACAGGAATAGGGCAGTATCCTGGAGGCAGGAGCTGGTGCAGGAGCCATGGCGGGGTTCTAGGAGGAATGCTGCTTACTGGCTGGCTCCCTATGGCTTGCTCACTCTGTTTTCCTATAGAACCTAGATCTACCAGCTCAAAGGTGAGACAAGTGTGATCATGGTGGGTTGGGATGGGGTAATGGTGAACTCTGAGTTTAGACTGCTTAGGAGGCAGTCGTGGGTTTAGGGACATATATTCATAGAGCAGACCCCTTAGGTAGCAGGTGGGGTATCTGCAGTCCTCAGCCAGGTGAGCAGGAATGAAACTCAGCAAGATAGATCTAGAAGGTGCATAATTGAAGACAGTTGGCTGAGGGGAGCTATCCACCAGACCTGGAGGTACAGTCCCTGCAGCCACACGAGAGCCTCTAGCCCAAGCTTCCACAGCATGCTACGAATATTCTCTGCTCTCCTTCCATCATCTTCAATGTAGGTTTCCTTGCTGTATTCTGGATGAAGGTTTGATACATCATATCAAAACATTTTTAAAAAATTATGGTTGGAGAAGGTTAAGAGAACTGTAGCTGAAAACTGGGCATTACCACTTACTCATTAAGGAAGCACCTGTCAGTGTATGTCCAGGTAGAGCTCAGTCTTTAGCTGCTGTGGTGGCCTAAGGAGAAGCGAACCCCATTCTCCAGGATCATGATGAAGTGCATGTGCAGAGAGGACCTCCCATGTATGTGCACTCATTTCTCCCTCCCCATCCTCTGTTCTCACTTCCTTTTTAATATGATGTCCAACATACCAGTATCTTACTGTGCAATCAATGAATTTCAGTTATGATGATTGTCATATTTTTGCATATTTTGAACATTTGCTAATTTAGCAAGAACAAGACTTAATCATTATTTGTAATGTTGCAAATTTGTGTTGCAAAATCTCAAATTTAAAGTTTAAGGATTTCTCTACAAACTTACTTGCTCTTTCATAACAGCTTTTGTAATATTTTATAATTTTTTATAGGTGTCAAGATATAAAGCCAGAAGAACGCAGCATGATTTTTGTGACAAAATGCCCTTGTGATGAATGTGTGCCTTTAATTAAAGGTGCAGGCATAAAGCAGATCTATGCTGGGGATGTTGATGTGGGGAAAAAGAAAGCAGACATCTCTTACATGAAGTTTGGGGAGCTTGAGGGTGTTCGCAAATTTACAGTAAGTACCACATTTTTCCCAGAGTACTTTCTGTCTGGTAACCCGCTGAGCATTGAAAAGTAGAGATTCTCACTCTTCTGGGACTGTGAGTGACTTGTCATCACTGGCTCATCTTTATGTGTACAAATTTACCAAACTGTAAGTGTTCAGCCCAGGACCCCTGCCCTGCACAGGTGTTTACAACTTGCAGAGTTGCTCTTTGGTCTTTGAAGTCTGGGTGCCCTCTGGTGGCTTCCCGTCTCTTTGGGCTTGGGTAGAGGTGCAACTCATTTAAGTTATCACTCCACACAAACACACCGTGTACACATTCTCATGAGAGAGAGCCCTGAAAACTACAATGTCATACGTTATAATTTTTTTTCTTTTCTTTTTTTCTTACTCTGAAGCAGGGTTTCTCTGTGTAACAGTCCTAGCTGTCCTGGAACTAGCTCTTGTAGACCAGGCTGACCTCAAACTCCCAGAGATCCGCCTGCCTCTGCCTCTCTAGTGCTAGGATTAAAGGCGTGCACCACCATCCCCCAGCTCTACTTAATATTTTAAAAAAAAGAAATAGAGATGGTTCATGGAAAACTCAGAATTTTTAACATACTTCTTTCTACCTAGGCTTTTAAAAAAGTGTTTTACTTTGGAATACTCTCAAGCATACAGAAAAGTTGTAAGAATTCTGCAAAACACTTTCCCCAGAGGTTGTTGACATGATATCAAGTTACCCTCTTGTAGCAGGAGGCTGCTTGTTTGTTCCCAGCTGCCCAGACTCAAAATAACCACACAGAAACTGAATTAATTAAATGACTGCTTAGCCAATAGCTTAAGCGTATTGCTAGCTAGCTCTTACATCTAGTATTAATCCATTTCCATTATTTTGCCTACCAGCAAGGTTCCAGCTGGCAGCTCACATCTTTCCCCTCTCGCAGCTACATGGTGTCTCCCTGACTCCGCCTTCTTTCTCCCAGCATTCAGTTTAGTTTTCCCTGCCTACCTCTATTCTGCCCTGCCAGGCTCAAGACAGATTCTTTATTAACCAATGCTATTCACCGCATACAGAGGGGAATCCCATATCACCCTCTGTTTCCATAATGCAAGGAGCATGGTGGAGCCACAGAATCAAGAAATAAAGTGAGACATTGCTACAGTGAATCAAGATTTTAGCTGGTCTCCACTTATCCCAGTGATGCTCTGGTAGAACCATCTTGTCCAGGATCAGAGTCCACTCAGTGTCATCCAGGGGCCTGATCCTGGCACCTAGTGCTCCATTGGTAGTCTAGAATTTCAGTGAGTAGGAAAGTTTATAATGAACTGTTTGTTCCTGTTATGTACAGTTTGAGCACAGGGAGCCAGAGCATATGTGTACTGTACACACATGTATGTTATTAAAGCAGTATGTGCTCACTGCAGAAGACTAGGAACATTTCAAATTTTATGTTATTCCATAACTTAGAAATGCCACTGTCAACACTGTATTTGCTGTGTTGTTAAAAGTTCCTAAAAATTATATTTACTAATCCAACATATTCTAGCCAGAATACCTAGCTTATATAATTATTTTCTTTGTTGGATAACTATATTACCTCCATTTTCATAATTATAAAATCCTTTCTATAATTATTTTGAAATGAAATTTTTGAGTTACTGATTTATACTGTTTTGCTCAAATTAATAGATTTTGGTGGCTTGGTGTATTTCAAAACATGCCTTTTTGAAAATTTCTTATGTAACTTCTCACACAACTTTCAAAAATCCCTCCCTCATGTGTGTGTGTTATACACATGCATATATGTGTGAGCTCACTGATGAATTCTCATATACAGGTCAGAGGCTGATGTCATCTTTCTCTATTACTCTCCATCTTGATTTTAGAGACAAGATCTCTTACTGAGTCTAAGCTCAGCATTTCGGCTAGACAGGCTGCTGGTGAACCCCCAACTCCAGGGGTACAGTCACCCCTGTGCCTGGCATTTATGTGGGTGCAAGGCATCTGAACTGAAGTCCTCATGCGTATGTAAGAGCACTTTACCCACTTAGCCATCTTCTCATCCTCGTGTCTCTTTCTTGGGACTAGCCTCAGCCTGTTTTTAGAAGTGACCAAAGTCTGAGTCACATTTTTATTCTTTAGGCCTTCTTTAGCGGATTTAAATTCCGTAGGCGGGCTGGAGAGATGCTTCGGTGCTGTGCAGACTGAGGACCTGAGTTTGTGGCTCTGGAATTAACATGAAAACAGGCATGACCACATGTGCCTATAACCGCAGAGCTGGGTGAAGGAAGACACAAAGACAGGGTTGCTAAGGATTGCTGGCTACCAACCTGGTTGAAAAACAAAACTTCAGGTTCAGTGAGAGACTGTCTCAAGGGAATGGGTGAGGAGCAATAGAAGGGGACACTTGAAATCTCCTCCGGCCAATACATGGGCACTCAGACATATGCATCTGAACAACACACACACATACAAAAACACAGCAACAACAGACAACACAGACATCTACTCTGTCAGAAAAATTTCTGCAGCAACCATGGTACCTTCATGGAGCTCAGTACCAAAGCCAAGATGGCCATTGTGGGCATGGGCATGTAGAAGTCTTCCCCAGACCAAGTCAAGAAAGCCATGAAGGGGGCCATTAATGCAGGATAGGGCCACGTTGACTGCATATGCGTATCATTACAAGAGTGAAGAGGGAGGCCATCCGAGGTCAGGTGAAAGAGAAGGTGTGAAGCGAGAGGACTTCTTCATTGTCAGCAAGGTGTGGGCCACCTGCTTTGAGAGGAAACTGTGAACAGAGCCATCAGAAGCCCCTCAGCATCTTGAACTGGACTATTTGGGCCTCAGCTTATTCAGTGGCCACGGGGACTTGAGCCCAGAGAGCTTTTCCCCAAGTGATAAAGTCAATGTTCTCACCAGTAAAATAACCTTCTTGGATGTGTGGAAGGTCAGGGAAGACCTGGAGAATGGCGAGTTAGTGAGAGCCCTGTGTTGTTGCTGTTGTTGCTGTCATTCTTTGCTTTGCTCTTTGAGGGTCCCACCTCCCAGCTACCAAATAAATACACCCGAAGACTTATTACTTGTAAATGCCCACCCTTAATTTGGCTTATTTCTAGCCAGCTTCCCTTAAATTATCCCATCTATCTTTTGCCTCTGGACTTTCGTCTTTCTCTGTTTCTGTATACCTGTTTCTGTATACCTGTCTTTACTTCTTCCTCTGTGGCTTGCTGTGTAACTGGATGGCTGGTCCCTGGTATCTTCCTCTTTATCTTTTTTTTTGCTGCTAGGTCCTTTTTGCACAGATTCTCCTCCTATTTATTCTCTCTACCTGCCAGCCCCACCTATCATTTCTCCTGCCTACTTATTGGCTGGTAAGCTCTTTACTTGACCAATCAGGTGTTTTAGACAGGCAAAGTAACACAGCTTCACAGAATTAAACAAATGCAACATAAAAGAATACAACACATCTTTGCATCATTAAACAAATTGTTCCACAGTATAACAAATGTAACACATCTTAAAATAATAATCCACAACAGCCCTGGGTGTCTCCAGCTTCAACTACTTCTAGATTGAAAGGCTCCTGAGCAAGCCTGGATGGAAACATAAGCCAGTGACCAACCAGGCTGACTGCTACCCATACATCAACCAGAAACGTTTCTTGCACTAATGTGATCTGACCAAATGTTTGTCAAACACCAGGAACTCTGGTAACACTGGGGATATAAAGATAATAAAAATATCAATAATGGCAAACAAAAAAAACAACACCTCAGTAGGTCCTGGAGATAGACAGGCTGTGTTGCTCGTCATGGGCATGCAGATTCTAATTCTGTCCCTGTGACCTGGGACAAGTTACTACACGCCTCTAGTAATTCTGGTTTGGATGATCTGATTGAGGGTCATTCAAGGTCAGTGTCTTATTAGGCAGGTAAACATAGACATAGACAAACTAACTCCATTTCTTATACTTTTAAAAGCTATTTTAGTGATGGAAAGCAAGGTACTGATATGCTGTTATTACTTCATTTTAAACATACAAATATTTGTGTCTCCTACAGTGGCAGTTGAATCCATCTGAAGCTTACAGTTTTGATCCAAATGAGCCGGAAAGGAGAGAAAGTAAGTATTTCTGAGCACTCTGTTGAGGCTATGTACTGAGGAGAGAGAGCAAGTTCCTAAGATCAGGAGATAGACTCATGTGTGGGTAGATGCAGGATATTCTTCTTGTAAAGATTAGGTCCATTAGGTCCATTGAGTTTGTTCGTAAATGTGTGCTGTGAGTGAGGAGCTGTGTAAAGTGCCGCCCGTGTGCTAACTACTCCAGTCATGTAAATGACTGTGGACAGATTGAATGTGTAGACTACATTTGTTTGAAACAACACTCTTCTCCACCAGTGTAAAAGCTGCTTGGGAGTGAGAGAATCTTAGCACAGATGTATGGGGCTAAGTGATGAGAGCATCTGTGTTCTTCTAGAGTAAAGCCACAGTGGCCCAGGCTGCTCAAGGAATGGAAAGGTTCTGTTTATTCAATTACTTAATTAAGCCAAAAATTGCAAGTGAGTCACTAGTCTTCACATTTGATTATTTACATACTAAGAAAAGCCATACTGAATGTAATATATCCTTGAGATTTCTTACAATTCCATAAGGGCATGATTTTGAACATGGTGCTCTGCAGTTTTATTTTAAAATAGTATCTTGGTTGTGACTGGGTTCTAGGTAAAGGGATACTCCTGTGTATTTTCTTAAGAGCAGCAATGATTTGATTATCTTGAAAAATCCAGAAATACGAAGGTCTCTATGAAAACATAAATGTTTTATTTATTATTTACAATCTGGAAAAACATAACTGCTACATTTTATTTTTTAAGATTTTCTTAAGCAATAAAAGATGTGACACCACCAAAGGTGTTTGGGGCAGTGAAAGTGTTGCTGTGGCTAGGGAGAGAATGCAGAGTGCCAACTGTAGAGAGACATTCCTTTGTCTGTGTTGAAATTAAGAGCATCTGTCCATCAAGAGATCCCACTAAGAGGGTGCAAAGGCAAGCCACGGAACAGAAGACTTGTGCCACTTACAATCAGCTAAGAGCCTGTGTCCAGGATTTCCCACATGTGCATCTCAGAAGGAGGAAGACAGGCCTGCGGGCGCCACCGTGAGAGGACACAAAAGGCTGCTGGTTATCAGGCAGGGGTTTTTGTTATTGTTTATTTTAAGTATTGTTTTTTTAAGCTTTTTTTTGTTTTTGTTTTAAATTTATTTCAACTTTTTTTCCAAATTCCCACTCCCTCCCCTCCGCCCACTCCCCTCCCTCTCCCTCCCCCTCCACAGACCCTCCCACCCCACCCCCTCCAATCCTGAGAGAGGGCCATGCACCCCATCAGGCAGGGTTCTTAACCACCCAGGCAGTTGTTTGCTTTTGTGACAGTTCATCAAGCTCAGCTTATGTTTGATGCCTTTTTAAACAAGAATTTTATACCAATAAATAATATTCTTATCTCCTTTTCAATTATGGAATAGCTTCCTAGTGTATAATTTACTTACCATGAATTTGCCTCTTTAAAGAACAGAGCTACCTGGCCTTCACGTGTTCAGAGCTGTGTGCCTGTCACCACAGTGTTTCATTGCTTTACAAAGAAACATGATACCCGATAGAGCCGCCCTGTCCTTCCCACCCCAGCCGAACCAGTGCTAGCAGCTTTATGGATTTGTCTCCACTGACCGTTTCATATACATGGACTCATACAGTATGTGGTTCCCTTTTAAACTTCTATCTGTTAAGAAACAGACAGGAGAATTAGACAAATAAAAGCCAAACTTTAGCTCTGTTGCCACACAGAAGCTTGACGCCAGGCCATATCGATCGTCCAGCTGTCGTGCACTCTCAGTGACAGTGGCAGGAGCACACAGCAGGGAGGTGCAACTGTGGATGATGTCCCAAGCATCCTATGCTGTAGAAATGGAGCCCAAATAAAGCACTTTTTAAAAATTGATAATAGACTTCGGAGACAGTAAAGGGTCCCAGATGCCCTCAAGAAAGAAGAGGTAAGCGGAACCCGTTGCTAGAATCTGAGTAACAAAGTAAACAAGCACTGAAGTCAGGTAATCCAGGACTTGTGGAAGCTGCCACGCCCGTCAGTGGGGATCTGCTGGACCTTGGGGAACCGAGCCTGAGGATGCTTTCAGGTCTCCCAGGGTCTCCCAACAGAAGCAGTTGCAGTCTCTCCTAAGAGGAAGCTGCAGCATAGGCTCATGGGATGGGATTTGCCATCCTAACTGGAAGGCAGCAGCCGTGCAGGAGATGGGCTCCATGCATGGGGTGACAGAAGCAGCTAGCCCCACAGTTAGACCTGGGGACTCGTGAAATGTCAGGGGAAAGAGCCCATTGAAAAGGGAAGCTACATGTGCTGACATGTGCGCTAATCTCTGCTCCAGGGAAGCTAAGGCAGGAGGATTGTGATCTGGGGACAGCATGAGCAAAAATGAAGAAAATATTATGAAAAGGGATCAGGCAATTTTGAAAATAGAGTTTGGGGAAATGAGAAATTGTTGTTAAACAGTAGGTGAGGCAGGCTGCTGTTTATAATAGGCACACTGTTGGTATTTGAGGGGTACACCTTAACAGTAGACCACCTAATGCATACTGCTGCCAAGTGGGTTGTTCATGTAGAACACGATGATGAGCTCATACCTCAGTGATACTCAAGATAAGTCCCGAGAATTAAAAGACTAGAGAAAAAAGTAATTTAAAAGGTAGGGGATTTTTGTAAAAAAAAAATTCTTAATATTATTTAGGCCTGTAGACATGCACACAGACAGAATATTGTATACATAATAAATAAATATTTTTTAAAAAAGAGATTAGATTTTTAAGGAAATACTTAGCGAGTGACCCGTGGCTACGTTTGTCAGCATGGATGGATCAGAAGTACAGTGTTGAAGATAGTGAGCTGCCAGTGACAAACTGCAGAATACTCAAGAGGAAGCCAGGCTGTGCACTGTTTCCCATATATGATAAAAGTGTTTACAAACCAGTGAGCTAATAAACAAGACAAGTGCTTCTGAGTGAGCTGAAAGGGGAGGGGGTGAGACGGGACAGCATGTGGGAATTAGTGGTGATGTGATTGTTTTGGACAGCAGGTTCTTTTGTCCCCATACAAAGTTGCTGCAAATTTAAGCAAGAATCCTTTATGGATAGTAGATTCTTAAGTGCTTGTTTTATTACCTGGCTAAATTGTAAATATATTCTGAGAGTTTCAAATATAGTACAAAAAGTCAGGGGTGGGGCTCCCAGCTCCCCTCGGGAAGACAGTTGTGGCAGTTTTTATCAAGAAGCTGGAAGGAGAGGGTGGGGGGAACTTGCAAGTGATAGGTTTATTGACTGGTGGATACACAGTTGTGTGGTGATGCCAAACTCACTAGGTTTTACCCTCTTAATATCTTTTAAGCACATGTATGTTATGGTGCCGGTAAAGCTGTTAGCAACCAAAAGCTTGAAGCCAGTCCCTCTCCTGGCATGCCCCTGCCAAAGGCCAGCTTCCCGTGCTGGGGGCCTGTGAATATGAGTCTGTGTCTCTTCCAGATGAGTAACGCCTCCTGTGTACTCCCCACCCCAAGAAATTTATGTGTTGTTGTTATCCGTTACTGAGTGAATCCTGTGTTTCAAGGGTTCACAGATACGCTACTATCTGAGCTGTCTAGAATCAGTATAGACTGGATGCATTTTAGAGCATGGGATGTTGAGATGGATGGGAAGCTGAAGGTCAAACTAAAATACCTTTGCTATAAGCATGATGTCTCCTCCCAGCCTCGTGGCTGGAATAGGTCCCCATGGGTTCTATGTGTGCTTCCTGACATGTGTTATTCTTGCATGTATTGAGGCGCAGGTCTACACAGGAAGAACAGTGCAGCAGCAAGAGGCCGCGTCTGGAAACCCGCTCTGCAGGCCGGGCTACACTGCAGTAACGTGTGCTTTCTAACCGCGCCTCTCCAATTCAGCCTGTGGGCTTGGGAATGACTGAGAAACCTGTACGGAGCTAAATTCCAGTTAGCCTATGAGCGATCTTACCAAGGACGTGTTTCTCAGCACGCAGCATATGCTTTCTTTACATTAAATGCTGTAGCAATAGTTTGAGGCCAGTATAAGACCAACAGGACCTGTTACTGTTTATCCGGACTCTGTGGAGCGAGTTTCAAAGGGGCTCGTTCACAGGAGGGGATCTTCTTTGACAAATAGTAATTCCTTTGGTTGGATTCAGGGATAATGATCAATAAACTGCTCCAGGAAATAAAATGGCATGGTCATCTTTTACAACTCCATGCACAGCTAACCAAGCAGCTGCATCATGCTAAGTCCAACTAGCCAGAAGTTGCTGCGATAGGATCGGCTCTAGGTGGCTGTGCCCCTCCTTCATTTGGAGTGTGTTTTGTAAGTGGTCTGGGGATTAGACCAGTGGAGCAGTGCCGTGAGAGCATGCGTGAGAGCATGTGCAAGGTCCCAAGTTTCTTCCTAAGCACCACAAAGCTAATAAATCGTCAACCGCACCTAAACGAGTTGTTGTTTTGATGCAGGGACTTACTTTGTAGCTCAGTCTCACCTCAGAAATCATCACGTAGTCCATACTGGTCTCGAACTCATGGCTGGTCTCCCGCCTCTTTCAGCCTCCAGAGTAGTGCATTCAGAGGCACGCACCGCCATGCCCAGCCTCTCCTAATGTTTTTGCTGTGTCAATTCATGGTAGCTTGTTGGACCACAGTGCAGTTATGCCACTAATTTGGGTGGCAGCAAGAAGAGACTCTGACTCTCAGGCAGTTCTGCTGTTTGATGTCAGTGACTTCTGAGGTCAATAATGGTGAACCTCAAATTTGATCATGGCTTAGGGCTGGGAAGATAGCTCAGTCAGTAAAGTGCTTGCTTTTCAAGTATGAGGACCCGAGTTCAATCCCCCACAGAACAAACACAAACCAAAAACAACCTAGGCATGGTGGCGAACACTTGTAATCCCAGCATTGGAAAGGCATCTCTTGCTGACTGACTGACCTAGCCAACTGGGTGAGTTCTGGCCCAGTGACGTCTGTCTTGAACATCAGGTGGATAGCAGCTGAGGAGCAAGGGCTCAAGTTTCTCTGTGTGAGCACGCACACTTAGCCCTGCACATACACACAAGCTTTGATTATGGTGTGGATGGGGAAGAACCATTTGCATGCAGGGAGACTGTTTAGAATTCTTCCTCTGTGTGCCACCTCCTACATGACTCCCCATCCATGTACCGAACAGCCGTGTCTGATGACTTTGACTTTGGAAGAGAAGGACTTTTACATTTGTGGACCTCAGAAATACTCAGTCTTAAAAATGAACATAGCCAGGGGCTGGGGAGATGGCTCCAAGGTTCAAAGCACTTGTTTCTTTTACAGGGGCCCCAGGTTCTGTTCCTGGTACCCACATGGTGGTTCCAGGAGATCTGATGCCCTCTTCTGACCTCATATACACACGTGCAGGCACAACAGTCACCTATAAGATAAAGTGAATAAATCGAATCAGGATTTTAAAAGATAAACAGATCCATCCCTAATTATGCCTTGTGAGTTCTCTTCATTTGATGAGAAACTTTCAGAAAATGAGTCCAAAGATGAAAGTACCTGGAGTGGGGGAGGGGGAACAGCTGGCTCTTGGGTGGGAGGGTGTCTCATGGCTGGGTCGAAGAGATTGGTTTTGCCTTTTCTCCTGCCCCCTTCACAGCATCATAGGGTATGATGCATCCTCCCACTAGCCTTTCAGAGATAAATGGGACAAACCAGACCCCTGCTTATGTAACAGCAGCCCGCACAGGTCCAGGACATGAAGAGGAAGTGTGAACAGCATTACAGGTAAGGAATGCTGCTCTGAAGGCCACCAGTGAAGTCTTTCCTGTTATTAATATAAAACCCTGAGATTGCCCACTGCCTTAGCAATCTTGGATTCTTGGTTGCTATAGCCATGCCTTAAGTTCTTGCATTATTATTATTTTTTTTTTGGAATATTGTGTCTATGCCAAGTAGATTTTAAATCAACCAGCAAATGTTTACTTGGTCTTTTCCTCCCACCCCTTCCCAAATGGATCACAAAGATTATCTCTAGCCTTCCTTCCCCCAACTCATTCCATCGTCCCAGCCTCCAACACCAGCAGCACTCCCTGGGAACACAGCAGCTGAGCTGACCAAGGAAGTCAGTAAGCCAGCTGAAGACTTGAACCCCTTCCTCCTCTCCCCCAAATACAATCCGCCAATCTCATCCCTAGCTCTGCAATAGAACACCTGCCTGCTGCTGCCCTCTCTACCCCGCCCCCCTGTTGACAGAGGCTGCTTGTTCATTCCCTGGCCGCTCAGACCCAAATACTCACTCAGAAACTATATTAATTACAACACTGCATGGCCTATTAGCTTATGCATATATCTAGATAACTCTTACATCTTAACTCTTTTCTATTAATTTGTATCGCCACGTGGCTGTGGCTAATTGGCAAGGTTCCGGTGCATCTGTCTCCATGGGCCACATGGTTTCTCACTGACTCCGCCTACTCTCCTATAGATATCTCTTCCAGCCTAGCTGTATTTCCCCACACCATACCTCCCACACACATCTCCTATTGTTCCCGCAGGTAATCTCTGCTAACCCAAGGGCCGCTCCTGCCAGGGAAGCCGGTGGGTTGACTGTAGATCTTCACCTTCCAGCTCCTCCAATCCCAGTCTCATCCTCAGCTCAGCAGCAGAACACCTGCTCTTCTCCCTTTCCTCTTTGAGCCCCATCCCCAAGGGATCACAAACATCTCCTCCAAGCTTCCTTTCCCCCAACCCATTCTAGTATCCCAACCTCCAGTACCAGCGGACATTTCCTGGGAACCCACCACTGAGCAGGCCAGAGAGTTTCCTGGAAAAGGGTTCAGGGAAATCTTCCTACCAGGTAACAGAACAGCCGTCACACTCCCCTAACTGCTCAACAAAGACAAAAACCAGACATCAGCACCCAGAACTTTGTCATCCCGATCCCAGAGACCTAGTTGTAGTGTAGAAATAATAACAGCCAGGACTTCGTGTCTCCACAGGAGCCTAGTAACTCTACCACAGCAGGTGCTAAATATTTCAACATAGCTGAAGTACACAAATAGCCTGCATAGAGGTGATAGAGGTCCTTAAAGAAGAAATGAATAAATATTTTAAGGAAATCTGGGGCAACATAAACAGTGTAAGGAAATGAATAAAACTCAAGACCTGAACATGGAAATAGAATCAATAAAGAAAACCCAAACTGATGGAAATCTGGAAGTGAAAAATTTAGGAATTTGTACAGGAACCACAAAGGCAAGTATTACCAACAGAATACAAGAAATGGAAGAGAGAATCTCAGTTGTCAAAGATGTGATAGAAGAAATGGATACATTGGTAAACGAAAATGTTAGATCTGAAAAACTCCCAAAATATGACATCTAGGAAATCTGAGACACTATGAAAAAAAACCAGATCTAAAAATAATAGGAATAGAGGAAAGAGAAGAAAGCCAGTTGAAAGGCCCAGAAAATACTTTCAACAAAATCAGAGAGGAAAAATTTTCTAACTAAAGGAGATGCCCATAAAAGCACAAAAAGCATTTAGAACACCAAATAAAATGGACTAGAAAAAAAGTCCCCTTGTCACATAATTATCAAAACACTAAACATACAGAACAAAGAAGATATTAAAGATGCAAAGGAAAAAGACCAAGAAATATGTAAAGACAGCTCTATTAGAATTATACCTGACTTCCCAATGGAGACTCTAAAAGTCCAAAGGGCCTGGATAGATGTGCTGCAGACTCTAAGAGACTATAGATGCCAGCCCAGACTATTATACCCAGCAAAATTGTCAATGACCATAGATGATATTCTAGTATAAAACCAAATGTTAGCAATATTTATCTATAAGTCCAGCCCATAGAAGGTAGTAGAAAGAACTACAATCTAAAGAGATTAACTGCACCCATGAAAACACAAAGATAAACAATCTAAGGCCCATAAAATTAAAAGAAAGGAAACACACAAACTCTCGTGCCACCACCGCTTGGTGGGTCTCCAATTCTTCTGCCTTCTCTGAGGGTACTTTCTCTTCTGTTGGTTTGCCTTGTCAATGTGATGGTTTTTGTTTTATCTTATTATATTTTATTTTGTTTAAAAAATGAAAAAAGAAAAAGGCACCAAAGTTATGCCAGCGATGTAATAAAATAATAATAATAACAATAATATTAATAAATAGCGATAAGATACTGTCTTCATTCTAAATTTGATAAGCACGACATGCTTCTAACTCAGGAAATTCAGGCTTCTTCCCTGGCCAACCATCCAGGGAAATCAATACAATTCAAAGGAGGAGCTCTCCCTGGGGCTACTCCTGGGTGTGGCTTCTGATTTAAAGGTAAAAGAAGTTTAGTTTTTAATTCATGATTTAAAAAAATGTTCAAATATTTTACCCAGAGAGAAATTTGACCCTCTGCCAATAGGATCCATGGGGTTCTTATTAGGAAAAGCCTTTTGGCGCTTAAAGGTTTAAATGTCTGTCCAAGGGCTCAGATAATCATGAGTCAGATAATCATCATGGCATTGGTAGACAAAGCCCTCCATCTGCTGGCCTAAAAGGAGATGTACAGCTGCTTCTATTGCCTTATACAATCCCCAACACCGACCATGCTGGCAGACTGGCTGGCGGCACACTATTTTAATTTCTAAACAGAGATCTGAATACATGATCTGGATAGCAGAGCCAGCGCCACGGTTTATTGGCTACCCATGCTCATTTGTTAATTACTGCCTTGAAACACAGGCCTACTAACTGGACCAAGGGGGAAAGTCCAAATCTGGTCTTCGATGGAGGGATGGTATTTCAAACATGACAGAGCTTCAGCATTTCTTAGACACCTTAGATGGAAAAAAAAAAAAAACCAACTAGCTGTTTCAAGGCCTTTGATATTTGATGCAACCATAATCTTGTGGGGATACCTGAATGCAACAATGGAAACTATGCTCCCAGTAAATAATAGGGAAGGCCCTGTTTGATTGGGGTCATTGATCTAGAAAGATAAAAACCCATTGCTCTCCTAAAGAAAATGCACTAACACATTTGGGTGGAGCAATGGCTCCTTCCTAAGGGGAAAACTGGATGTCCTACAAAAACAATAACATAGGCATATTGAGCTATATACTAGCTCTTGAAATACCCCTGTATTTGTTAAGAAAAAACAAAACCAAAAAACAGAAATCAAAAGTTTTTTCCAAGATCCTTTTTAAAAAGTTACTTAACCTAAAAAATATGTATTTAATTACCTAATTCTGATATGTAAAATGGCACCTAGCATAGCATAGACACTCAGTAAAGTTTCTTTTAAGATTTAGTTTGTGTGCTAATATGGGTGTTTTCCCTGCATGTGTGTATGTGCTAAGAGTTCAGAACAGAGTCATGAATGGCTGCATGCTACCATGTGGATGTGAGAACCCAGCCCCAGTCTTTTGCAAGAGCAACAAGTGTTCTTAAT